GCACCGGCCCTGCCCGAGCCGGCGCAATGAGGCAGATAAGCCTGGTGGGAGCCGTGGACGAGGAGGTGGGCAACTTCTTCCCGGAATTCCTCGGCATGCTGGAGGAGTCGCCCTTCCTGAAGGTGAGTCCCGCAAATCCCTCGGAGGCCCGAACGAACGGCCACGTCAGCGAGAAGAGCCGCGTGGCTGTCTGAGATAACGGCCAAGAAAAATGCTCAGAATGCTTCCGAGCTGTCAGGCCCACGCTCGGGGGACCGGATGTGCCATCCAAAATGATTTCCGAAGGGATTTGCTGTGCGGTGGCAAACGGGACGTGTGCTTTCTCTGCCTGGCTACAGCGCACGCTTCCGTGGGGAACGTTGTCCAGCCTGAGCATGATGAGCCCCGACGAGAGCGACGACGGGCCCATCATGTGGGTGAGACCGGGCGAGCAGATGATACCTGTCGCCGACATACCAAAGTCGCCTTTTAAAAGAAAACGGTAAGGCCGCCGCGCGACGCAACCGTGTCAAGATTCCTCCCGGCTTCTGAATTTCATAAGTCAGCTTGTGACTGTGTTTTTTTTTCTCCTTTTCGTAAATGCATTGTTTTTGTTTCGAGTTCTTATGAGTTTGAGTATTAGTTTGTGTTTTGTTTTTTATGTTTGGAGTGTTTATCACGCGCAGGATTAAAAAATAAATAAAAAAAAAGGCCCGTTAAATTAGTAATTAGCAATAATGAGCCGGTCGCTGCTCACGCAGCTCCACCAACGAGGTGAAGAACCTCCTCCAGTCCTTGCCCAGGACCAGCGAGCCCAGAGAGATGCTCTTCGAGGACAGGACACGAGCCCACGCCGACCACATCGGCCAAGGTTTCGAGCGTCAGACCACCGCGGCGGTGGGCGTCCTGAAGGCTGTCTGCTACAAAGAAAGGTGCTCGGCGCGTCGCTTGTGTTTCAAGCGCTCCCTTTGCGCTGGCTGACGAAAAATTTCTCTTGTTTGCAGTTTGGAGCCTCCTCGTGTAACCAAAGACGTCGTGTGCTTCCATGCTGCCGATTTCCCATACGTGGTTCAGCGGCTGCAGTTGGATCTTTATGAACCTCCGCTCTCACAGGTCTTGAACGCCGGTGGCCAAATGATCATTTGAATGTGACGTTGTTTGCTACCACCTGGTGGATTCAAGTTGTAATTACTTGGCATCTCCAGAGGAACCTTCTGACTTGACGTTAGCTTTAGTAGTGTGTGTGGACTCATAACGTACGCATCATGCTTGAATTTCTATCCCAGCTCCGCCTTTTAGTTATGACATAAAACTTTCCTTTCTGTCTTGCTTTCTGTTGTATCGCCCCCTCAGTGTGTGCAATGGGTGGACGACGCCAAGCTGAACCAGCTTCGTCGGGAGGGCATCCGCTACGCCCGCATCCGCCTGTGTCACGACGACGTCTACTTCATCCCGCGCAACGTGGTCCACCAGTTCAAGACGGTGTCGGCCGTCTGCAGCCTGGCCTGGCACGTCCGCTTAAGGCAGTACGAGCAGGGAAGCCGGGAAGAGGAGGTGAAGGGGGAGGGGGAGGAGCTGGACATCATGGAAGGAACGAAGGGTGAGGAAGACGACGCAAAGGAGAGGATAAAAGTGGAGGAGGAGGAGTTGGGTGCAGCCAGCAACAGGACGTTGCCAACACTCGAAGATCTTCCTCGCGCTTGTTCGCCTGTTTTGTCTCCGCCGGCTCGCTCAGTGGACTCGGAAGCGACAGCAAGCGGCAAGAATACGATTGGAAAGGTTGACGGGAGCCCCAAACGGGCACAGTCGCCTCCGATTCAAGTCAAAGCAGAACTGCCAAAAATGAGCCAGCCCCCATCGCCTCTTCCTCACCATCCTGACGCAAAATCAACCTCGATCCCTCATCACCACTTCCCTCATCCTCACGGTCCGGCGAACGCCACCACGCCGTCTTCCAGCTCCTCCGCTTTGTCCCCAAAGACGCCTTCGCCGCACTCATCGTCTGTACGCCACACGTTAGCTGCTGCCAGCCCGTCTTGCTCCTCCTCTTCATCACAGAGTCCCAAGCCCGCCCCTGATTCGCACCCGCACCCCTCTTTGGAATCCGCGTCTTCCCGGCTGGCCCCCTCCCCTCGAAAGGACAAAGACTCGCCCGGCTTCACCCCGGAAGCGCCCGCCGAAAGGCGGACTCCGGCGTCCCCCGAATTCCACGCTCACCTCGGTTCCCATGGCGACGTACGGACTCGCGCGCTGGCGGAAAAGTGGACTCACGGGGTCGACGCGAGCCCCCGGACGTTCACGCATGCTCAGCACGTGCAGCAATTTCCTCCCCCCATGCTGCCTCCCCATCACTTCCCCCAAATGCTCCCCCACTCCTATTCTCCACTGCTCCCTCACCCCCACAGACCCCCCCTCACCTCACACCAAAATCTGCCCCCCTTCCTCAGTCAGGTGCCACCGCCCCACCCAGTTCACATCGGCCAGCTGCACCTGCACCCCCCACACCCGGGGGATGCCACCACCCAGCCCCAGCCTTA